TATTAAAATATAATATTTTAATATTTTGTTTTTGACCATGTGAATTGTTTCCTTGAACTTGATGTTCTGAACTTGTGGGTGAATAGAATACCAAAGCAAAAAGTTTATTACATTAAAACATAATAAATCACGTTTACCGAAGAATCTTAATCTCCAATAAGGAAAACAAATAGAAATTTATAGGGAAAACACGTACTTAAGCCAGTGAACTTATTAAGTTTTGCCCATTAAATTTTGAATTTTTACATTGAACAGTTTAACTATTATTTTTCTTAAAATTAAACCATAATTTAATTGAGGATATGAAATGTGCAATCATTATTTCATAAAATCAGATTTTTTTTTTTTTTGTTGGGAGAAGGAAGATAATGGTAATAATATATATATGGGTAATAATATATATATATATATATATTATATATATTATATATAATATATATATATATTATATTTGCTTTGAGAATATTTGCTTTGAGAACTAAGAGTCTGATATCATTGTCTTCCATGCTTTAGCTTTTATTTACTTTTATTTTAATCTCTAAACAAAAATTGGTATTTTCCCATGCGACATTATTCTTAACTTATTTTATAGTCCCTCTGATTCACTTATTTAGATAAAATTGTTAAATAATATTCTCTCAGTCTCGTTTTATTTACATGATTTGATAAAACACACATATTAAGAATTTAATCAATAAAAATTATTTTATGTTTTTTAACCCTTAACTTATTAAAATATTAATAAAAGTCTTCGTTTAATAAATAATCATAAAAGTTATTATGAAAAAAATAATTATTTATATATATAAATTTAAAAAACTTGCAAACATTTCGGGATCTTAAAAAGGAATAACAAATAAATAAAATATGTATCATTTATTTATACAAACTTATTAAATTTGATAAAAAGCCAAAATATAAACATATTACCTTTTACATTGCTTTCTTTATTGTATTATATGTGAAAATATCAAGGGAGTTACATTGAATGTGGTTAGATTTCCAAAATATCGCTTTTATCCCTTTCTTTCTACATTTTGATTAGAAAAGGCACGAGACATTTGTTTTTTTTTTTTTTTTTTTTTTTTTTTTTTTTTTTTTTTTTTTTTTTTTTTTTTTTTTTTGCATGACACTTGTAATTCCCTTCAAGTGACAATATGGCTTGAAATATTGCGCCTATTTCAAACCCTAATTAACTTATTCATTTTTAATGTTAACTTAATCATTCGAAATTGAAAATTATATCTCTCCAAAGATAACAAATATTAATTACAATTGGTGAAAAGCTAAAAAGTAATCTCCATTGGAAATAATATAAGCCTTCTCGTAGTTATGCAATAGTTAAATCTTCAAATTCCCTTTTGTGGTCGAGACGAATTTAACAAAAATAATTAGAATTGGTCATTAATATATAATTGGTCATATACCTGCACAATGTGTAGACCGTATAATTTTATATTTTTTAATTAATTTGAATGAATAATTTTTAAAATTTTATTTTGATTTATATTTGTCTTGATTTAGTTTAAATAATTTACTTTGCGTATATTTTGATTAAATGATGCAATGTGAAATTATACATCCTTTTTGAAATTCTCAAGTAATAAATTAAAATATTTATTTCGACAATAGATTATTGTAACTTAACTGATATAATTATTTATCTTTTCTTTTTAAGATTTTCATATATTCTATTAAAATGTTTATTAATTTATTACTTTTTTCATGATTAAATGATAAGGATATTTAATTATCATGCAAAATTTAATGAATTAAAATTATATTTTAATTCAATTAGTTAATCACATTATTATAATTCTATTATTTAATTAATATTTATTAGTTATAGCTCCACTAGCTTCTATTAGTTTATAATTCCTTTATTCAATAAAAAAAACTTAAAGTTTGTTAAAATATTAACCCTATTAGATTCCATTAGTTTATAACTCCATCATTTACTAAAAAAACTTAATGTTTATCAAATGTGAAAAAAAAAAATATTAATCAGAATAAAAAGCAAAATGTCACATTATTGCTTCCATACTTTAATATATTGGCATATCATCATCCATACTTTAGAAAATATATATTATACTTTAATATATTGGCATATCATCATCCATACTTTAGAAAATATATATTTATATAAATAGATAGGTATTATATTAAATTTTTAATTCAAATAAAACTTGAATTTAGAGTTACAATAAAGTTTAACTATTATAAAAAATGGTTGCAACTAACTACTTAATTATATGAAAAATCTCATTTTTTTTTATAATTAGTAAGTTTCATTCTCTTTATTAAAATTAGGGTGACTAAATTTCAGAAACAATCAAAAGCTGAATTATTTTCGATTTTCAGTTCAATTATTCAAATTTTGTTCTCAATTTTTTATAATTTCGGTTTTTAGTCTTTAGATCTAGTATTGAAAAAAAATTATTTTTTGAGTAAAACTAAATCAACTGAAGATTCAGTTTGATTTCAGAATTTATTTGGTACAATTCAATTTCAACAAAGAATTAACTTCAATTTTTATAATTGATTCAAACTGTCAATTTGCAGGTCGCAAATACAACATGCTTTGAGCAATGAAAAAGGCACCAAGATTTCTTTTCACTTTTCTTTTTTTAGTTGAAAATATTACACCGTCTGAAAAAAACAATATCAATTATAAAAATTAATTAATTTAATATAATGAGAAGATGAATAAAACTTACTAGAAAGTTCTAAGAAACATTGCATCTTTTAAGAAAGTCATAAAGAGGTGGCAAAGTCTGACCCAATCCACAAACTCATTTCAAATTTCTGCAACTCGTCCAAGTTTGTAGTAGTTAATACACTGGGATCCACTCTTTCTCTGTTATAAATATGTTTGTTTAAGAAAAAAAAAAATTACTAAAGTTAATCATTTGAGTGGTTGGCGTCAAATACTTATATTCCTTTTATATTTTTAACTCTTAATTTATGTGAGATAGTCCAACACAGGTGTTTTATTTTAATTTAATATAAATATAAAAATAATTATATCATCTTAAATGTATTAAAAGTTACATGGCACTAAGTGTTTTATTTTTATTTTTTTTTTGAAAAACATTTTATTTTAATTTATATATATCTTAGTTGTATTCACTGCGTGTTTGTTTTATCCACGAGCATCTATCTCTCAATTTCAGTTATTAAAATAGAAGGGTGTTGAACCATTCATCTCAATATCTATTATATGGATTATATATCTTTTTTGATATAATAAATAAATTATTTTTAACCAAAATAATTAGATAATTTCATGTAATTCAAAAATAACCTAGTGAGAGCTTTTTTTTTTTTTTTTTTTTTTTTTTTTTGAGCTTTTTTTTTTTTTTTTTTTTTTTTTTTTTTTTTTTGAAAGAGACCTAGTGAGAGCATTTAATTCAACTGATTATATTATATTTAGAATTCATTAACTTCATAAAAATAATTAATAATAAAATTATTTTTTCAAATTAATTGTCATATTATTTATAGTTATTTAAAATAATAATTTTCTATTCAATATTATTTAAAAAATTTTAAATAATATATTCATTTAAAAAATTAAACAAATATATATACATATATCATAATATATAAAAACAATTATATCATTAATAGACATTTAACATTTTAATAGCAATTGCTATTAAAATTCTACCCGTAAGCTAATTACGATACGAGGCATCAACAATGAATTTCTATCAACAGCTAAACCAAATTTCAATATACTTAAGTGGGTTCAAAATTTTCCTTGTATCTTAAAAAAAAATATTTTATTATTATGTTTCCTTATAAGCAGTTTCCTTATAAGCATAAATAAATTAATTAAGTAATCCTTAATGGACTTGATTCACGAGTAGCTAGGCAGAGTCGCACCATACATATTCAGTCTGAGTCATACAGATATAATATGTTTGATCACGTGATTTGATTCCATTTTAATTTTCCATGGGAAGAGACCAAAGCATGGTGGGTACTTAAAAGGATTTTGGAGGTAAGATAAAAGTAGGATAAAATTTTTAAATTGTTTGAGGGTGTTGAAAAGTAAATTTCTCTGTTTTTAACCTACCAAATTCAAGGATTGAGAAGGGTTAAAAAAAAAAAAAAAAACTTATTCCCATGTTATCCATGCTAGTTTGAAAGCTAGTTTGAAATATTTCAATATACTTTTTAAATAAAAATTCCCATGTTATCCATGCTAGTTTGAAATATTCATTACTTTTTAAATAAAATATAATAATAATAATAATAATAATTACAGTTTTGCTTTGGTAATAGATCGAAAAATAGTCGAAAAGATTCCAATATTTTTTTAGGAGTTGAAAAGATTCCATCCACTGAACAAAATTAATGTTATCAATTAATTAATTTAATTTAATAAGAATATGAAAAAAGCTTCCAAGAAAGTCCTAGAGAGGTGCCAAAATTTGACTCAACCATCAAATCCATACTAAATTCCTACAACCCATCTAAATCTGTACTGTAATAGACAACTTTAGCTTTGGAGCTTTACAATTGTTTATTGCCTCTTCTTAGAAGCTGTGTGATTACAAAATTAAGTTAATTAATTTACTTCACAAAGATCAAAACCAAGATATCAAGAAAAACTGTAATTAGGTTGGTATGAAAGCAACAAATTTTTCTAGAGGCTGTTGATTTATTAATGAGAAATCAAAATTAATATTTTCTTTTTTTCAAATGTTTCAAGTTATTAATATTTTATTTACTAATCACATAAAAAAATGGTAAACAATGTAATATACATTTAAACTTTAGAATAGATTAGAGAGATCAGTTAATCCAATCAGGGACGATTTACTATGTTAAAGTTACCATATTGCACCCTTCGTAAATATTACAACTGATGAAAGAAACTCATCGCAGTTGAGACATAAACAACCATGAAGCTGCCATTTTTTCTCTTCTTTTTATTTTTTGAGAAAGAAAGAAATTGCTGGGAGCCAAAAAAAAAAAATCAATACAAATGAAGAACATCACTAATAAGTAATATCATAAACACTGCGTAATACTCTGATACATGTTGTTGAGTTTCTAATATTAAGACTGATATTAACAACCCACATAATTTGTTGACCACTTGTCGGAAAATTGTGCTTTCAGAGATCTTTTTAATCACCAAGATTTGTATTCAGTGAAAGGCACAACTTCTAAAGACATAGCTTTTGTATCGTTGAACTCAGAGGTTGAGATATCAGAATCCCATATGGCTGTTACTTCATTAGGGACATCTTCAAGCTCTTCATTATTTTCTTGGACATGATCGCTTCGCGATGATCGAATCCCTTCTAAATCCATAGCAACTTCTTTCATAGTAGGTCGTTTCTTTCCATCTAAATTTAAGCATCTTTTTGCAAGATTGGCAACTGCTGCAATTTCTTCTTCTTCATAACAATGCTCCATTATACAGGCATCAACCATGTCAAATAGTCTGTTCTCTTCAATCAGGAGATTGAAATGTACGACTAAACTCACCATTTCAGCTGATTGTGAACTCGGACAAAATATCGGCTTTTTTCCACTTAAAAGCTCGACAAGAACGACTCCAAAGCTGTAAACATCACTCTTCTCTGTAAATTGATTCGTTCGATAATACTCAGGATCTAAGTAACCAAAAGTACCTTGAACACGAGTCGTCAAATGAGTTTGATCAATGGAAATAGATCTCGAAGTTCCAAAATCCGATATTTTTGCTCTGTATTTCTCATCCAAAAGTATATTCATAGATTTGATATCCCTGTGATAAATGGGAATAGAAGCTGCAGAATGCAAATAAGCAAGCGCTCCAGCAACTTCGCTAGCAATCTTCAATCTCATTTCCCATGTAAATGGAACATCTTCATTCTTGTCATGAAGATAATTGTAAAGAGATCCATTTGGTATGAACTCATAGACTAACAAAGTGTTAGGGCCCGGCCGACATATGGGACCCACAACACAAAGGAACTTCAGTTTCCAAACAGCATCCTAACAGCTTAACGACATTTCTGTGATTAATTTGGGAGAGAATAAAAACTTCATTAACAAATTCTTGTAGTTTTTTCTCATCTACTAATTTTGACTTCTTCACTGCTATAATCCTTCCATCTACAAGCATTCCCTTAAAGACTGTGCCTTGACCACCTTGACCAAGTATTCTATTCTCATTGAAACCGTCAGTAGCCTTTGCCAACTCTTTTGAACTAAATATTTTTGTACTTTGAAGGCTACCATCACTTGAAGATAACTGTTTTTGTAACAACAAACCACCATTTCTTTTAAAGAGCTAAATACATTATTTGTACTTTTGAAGGCTACCATGCACTTTTGAGATAACTGTTTTTTGTAACAACAAACACCATTTCTTTTAAAGATTTAGCCTTTGCCAACTCTTTTGAACTAAATATTTTTGTACTTTGAAGGCTACCATCACTTGAAGATAACTGTTTTTGTAACAACAAACCACCATTTCTTTTAAAGAATTTTTTTCGGAGTTCAATCTTCTTTCTCTTCTTCAAGCACTTGTACACCCACCAAATAACAAATAATATTGCTAGTACCCCAATGACACCACCTATGACTGCAAAACCAGAAAAAGGGGAAACCAGAAATGTATGAATTACTGTTGGAAAATGTATAATAATGCGAGCAAGTCACAAAATTTTTTCCATGACCATCTAAATTATATGCTTATAATAGACAGAAAAAGGGAACTTACTCAAAATGATAATCCACTTGGGATCCACCACACATTTGTATGAGCCAGGTGTATTCTCACATTTTGTCATTCCCCAACACTGCCTAGATTCTTTGCATTCATCAACATCTAGCATGACAAGGCCAAGATCGATGAGAAAAGAATTTTTCTTTACATTCTAAGCCAAGGGGATTTAAACCTCCTGATTATACGCAAAAAAAAAAAAAAAAAAATTACCTGTACATCCAAGGTAAGCACTCCCCTCATAGCCAACTTTGCAAGTACATTGAACATATTTTGGACTGGAATATTTATCTTTCCATTCAGTACAATACATGGTGGTAGAGTTATATTCCCAGTCACGGGAATCGATAATCCAAGAAAGCGTCATGGGAACGTGCGAAAGTGGTTCTTTTACTTTTGGAAAAGGTTGTGCTGTTCCGTCTGTCAAAAATGCCAACCTACACCCATCTTGGCTTTGATTACCATTCTCAGCCTGTAAACTTGGATTAAAAACCTGAAGGAAAGGAGGAAGGTATATCTGACAGCAATAGTTAGAACCATTACAATTTTTTTCTATCAGCCATCTGTCTTTTTCTTCAGGCCAATAGCTAGCCTGTACAACAAGTTCAGAGAACGTTTTCCGCCAATCAATATCTTTCTGGCCGCCGGGGCAATGAGAGTCGCAACCCACAAGTTGAGGCGTGTGATCCGTCATTAAAGCGCGTGTGTTGCAACCCATTGCAGTAAAAACATTGTTGTCGGAGAAAAAGAAAGGACTCCCTGTCAAATCGATAGTACTATCCACCTCCGGTTCCAATTGGGGTTCCAAGCCTGGACAATTTATTGACTTCACCGGACCTTTGACATAAACATTGTCCGGAAACATTTCAATGACCTCCATATCGATGTTTGTTATGATAGCTTTTGGAGGATTGGCAGATCTGTTGCACCAAATCTCAAATCTTTGGTCCATATAACAATCTTTGTTCAATCCAAATGGGTATATAATGTCTATATTTCCACATTTGAAATCTTTGCAACTGAGTTTTGTGTAAGATGATTGTGCTTTTGCTAATTGGAAGATTGGCATTAATACTAAGAAACTGTACGTGAGAATTGGACAGACTAATTTCACGCCCATTATTCTTTCTCTGGTTTATTGAAGAAAGCTGATTCAACTCATATGATCTTTATATGGCTAAATAATATAATTTATACTATATTTGAAAATTAAAAAAATAAAAAAGAAGCGCGGAATAGATAACTTTCAGCAAATTAAGAGTCTAAAGCATTTCCTGATTATTTTATTTAGCACGCCTACCGCCACTTTGTAAAATTTATTTAATCCAAATAGGGGTAAGCATAAATTATGAAATTCATTCACTTTTCAGGACTTTCTAATTTTATACGTGTGATAATACGGCCAATGCAGACACGTTAAGGCAAAAACATTTCGTCAATTAGATTATCTAATATAATATCAAAATAATATAAATAATTAACTTTCCAATTATCAATTATTAAAATTAATTAATTTAATATAATGAGAAGATGAATAAAACTTATAAGAAAGTTCTAAGAAACATTTCATCTTTTAAGAAAGTCATGAAGAGGTGGCAAAGTTTGACCCAACCCACAAATTCATTTCAAATTTCTGCAACTTGTCCAAGTTTGTAGTAGTTAATACACTGGGATCCACTCTTTCTCTGTTATAGATATGTTTGTTTAAGAAAAAAAAAATTACTGCCTCGTGTACAAAAATTGTTGCCTCGTGTACATTTTATATTCTAAACATGTTTGTATCATGGGCTTGAGTTGAGCCCAATTGTTTAAGCAAAAAAATTATTGCCGCGTGTACAAAATTTATTGCCTCGCTTTTATATTCGATTATTGGCTAGCCTAACGCGGAGAATATAAATACAAAGACCAAAGTAAAAGTTAACCCAAGTCGAGTTCCGTATCTCTAAACGGAGTATTCGAGTTTAGGGGTGAAGAAAAACTGTAATTAATATTTACTTCATAAAGATCATTACCAAGATATCAAGAAAAACTGTAATTAGGTTGGTATGAAAGCAACAACTTTTTCTAGACGCTGTGAGAAATCAAAATTAATATTTTTTTTTTCAAATATTTCAAGTTATTAATAGTTTATTTACTAATCACATAAAAAATGGTAAACAATGTAATATACATTTAAACTTTAGAATACATTAGAGAGATCTGTTAATTCAATCAAGGACGATTTACTATGTTAAAGGTTACCATATTGCACCCTTCGTAAATATTACAACTGATGAAAGAAACTCATCGCAGTTGAGACATAAACAACCATGAAACTGCCATTTTTTCTCTTGTTTTTATTTTTTGAGAAAGAAAGAAATTGCTGTGAGCCAAAAAAGAAAAATCAATACAAATGAAGAACATCACTAATAAGTAATATCATAAACACTACGTAATACTCTGATACATGTTGTTGAGTTTCTAATATTAAGACTGATATTAACAACCCACATAATTTTTTGACCACTTGTTGGAAAATTGTGCTTTCAGTTTTTATTTTTTGAGAAAGATTTATTTTTTGAGAAAGAAAGAAATTGCTGTGAGCCAAAAAAGAAAAATCAATACAAATGAAGAACATCACTAATAAGTAATATCATAAACACTACGTAATACTCTGATACATGTTGTTGAGTTTCTAATATTAAGACTGATATTAACAACCCACATAATTTTTTGACCACTTGTTGGAAAATTGTGCTTTCAGGGATCTTTTTAATCAACAAGATTTGTAATCAATGGAAGGCACAACTTCTAAAGACATAGCTTTTGTATCGTTGAACTCAGAGGTTGAGATATCAGAATCCCATATGGCTGTTACTTCATTAGGGACATCTTCAAGCTTTTCATTATTTTCTTGGACATGATAGCTCCGTGATGATCGAATACCTTCCAATTCCATAGCAACTTCTTTCATAGTAGGTCGTTTCTTTCCATCTAAATTTAAGCATACTTTTGCAACATTGGCAACTGCTGCAATTTCTTCTTCTTCATAACAATGCTCATTTACAGGCATCAACCATGTCAAATAATCTGTTCTCTTCCATCAGGAGATTGAAATGTACGACTAAACTCACCATTTCAGCTGATTGTGAACTCGGACAAAATATCGGCTTTTTTTGTTCTCGTTCCATCAGGAGTTCTTGAACATGAGTAACGACTGGAAACTCACCATTTCAGCTGATTGTGAACTGGCGGACAAACATAATGCTTTTTGTTCTTGGCACTTAAAAGCTCCGACGAGAGAACCGAACTCCAAAAGCTAGGTACAACATCCACGATCTTCTCGTGATAAATTGATGTACGTTTAGATAAATACTGCATCGGAATCTAAAGTAAGCCCGCAAAACCGTACCCTTGAACACAGAAGTCGTCAAAGATGAGTTTGATCAATGGGAAATAGACAGTCTCGAAGTTGGTCCAAAATCCGATTAATTTTTGCTCTGTAATTTCTCATCCCAAAAAGTAATATTCCATAGATTTGAATATTCCTGTGATAAATGTTGGGAATAGAAGCTGCGCAGAATGCAATAAGCAAGCGGATAAGGCAACCTTGCTAGTCATCCTTATTGTTCATATTCATGTAAATGGAACATTCTTTCATGCTTGGTTCATTGAAAAGATTTAAATTTGTGGGAAAGAAGATTTCCATCTTGGCTATGAACTCATAGACTAAGGTTTGGAGCCCGGACGACATATGGGGACCGCACAACCGACAAAGGAACTTTCCAGTTTCCAAACAGCATCTAACGCTTTAACGACATTTCTGTGGATTAATTTTGGGAGAGAATACAAAACTTCATTAAACAATTTTGTTTTTCTCAATCTACTAATTATATAGACTTCTTCACTGCTATAAATCCTTCCCACTACAAGCCATTCCCTTTAAAGACTTGTGCGCCTTGACACCTGGATCCAAGTATACTATTCTCGCAGGTTGAAACCGGTCCGATAGGCCTTTGCAACTCTTTTGAACTAAATACTTTTTTGTACTTTGAGAGCTACCATCAACTTGAAGATAACTGTTTTTGTAACAACAAACCACCCATTTCTTTTTAAAGAAGTTATTTCTGTTCGGAGTTCAATGTTTCTAGGCTACCATCACTTGAAGATAACTGTTTTTGTAACAACAAACCACCATTTCTTTTAAAGAATTTTTTTCGGAGTTCAATCTTCTTTCTCTTCTTCAAGCACTTGTACACCCACCAAATAACAAATAATATTGCTAGTACCCCAATGACACCACCTATAACTGCAAAACCAGAAAAAGGGGAAACCAGAAATGTAAGAATTAATGTCGGAAATGTATAATAATTGCTAATGAAAAGGGGCAACCAGAAAAGTTCTTACTCAAAATGATAATCCACTTGGAATCCACCACACATTTGTATGAGCCAGGTGTATTCACACATTTTGTCATTCCCCAACACTGTCGAGATTGTTTGCATTCATCAACATCTGCCATGACAAGATCAAGATGAGAAAACCAAGTGTTTGGATTCTTATTTGTGCTAACAAATCAACAAAAAAAACCCACAAAATTTTACCTGTACATCCAAGGTAAGCATTGCCCTCATAGCCAAAGTCGCAAGTGCATCTTACATATTTTGGACTGGAAGTTTTATCTTTCCATTCATGACAATACATGGTGGAAGGGTTATATTCCCAGTCACCGGAATCGATAATCCAGAAAAGCTCCATCGGAAAGTGCAGAAGTGGATCTTTTACTTTCGGAAAAGCCTGTCCTGTTCCGTCTGTCAAAAAAGCTAACCTACAACCATCTTCGCTTTGATTATTATTTTCAGCCTGTAAACTTGGATTAAAAACCTGAAGAAAAGGAGGTATATAGATCTGACAGCAATAATTAGAACCATTACAATTTTTTTCTACCAGCCATCTGTTTTTATCAGGATAATAGCTAGCTTGCGTAACAAGTCCAGAAAACGTTTTTCGCCAATCAATATCTTTCTGGCCGCCGGGGCAATGAGAGTCACAACCGACGAGTTGAGGAGTGTGGTCAGTCATTAAAGCTCGAGTGTTGCACCCTATTGCAGTAAAAACATTGTCGTCGGAGAAAAAGAAAGGACTACCTGTCAAATCGATAGTCCTATCCACTTCCGTTTCAAATTCTTGTTCCAAGCCTGGACAATTTATCGACGACGCTGGTCCTTTGACATAAACAGTGCCCGGAAACATCTCAATCACCTCCATATGGATGTTTGTTCTAATAGCTCTCGCTATCCACTTCCGTTTCAAATTCTTGTTCCAAGCCTGGACAATTTATCGACGACGCTGGTCCTTTGACATAAACAGTGCCCGGAAACATCTCAATCACCTCCATATGGATGTTTGTTCTAATAGCTCTCGGAGGATTGGAAGATCTGTTGCAAAAAATCTCAAATCTTTGGTCCATATAACAATCTTTATTCATTCCAAATGGGTATTCAATGTATATATTTCCACACATCCAATCTTTGCAGCTGGGTTTTAGAGAAGATAATTCTGCTTCTGCTAATTGAAAAATTAGCATTAGTACTAAGAAACTATAAGTGAAAATTGCAGACACTAATTTCAAGCCCATTGTTCTTTCTCTCTTCTATTGAAGAAAGCTTATTCAGCTCATATGATCTTTATACGGCTATACTACATTTTGAAAAAATAATTAAAAATAAACAAGAAGAGCTAGATAGACAACTTTCAGCAAATTAGGACTATAAAGCATTTTCTGGTTATTTTATTTAGCACGCTTACCAGCACTTCATAAAATTTATTTAATCCAAAGAGGATTAAATTATGTAATTCATTCACTTTTCAAGACCTTCTAATTTTATATGTATAATAATTTGGCGAACGCAGACACGTTAAGTCAAAAGTACCCTTAACTACTCACGGTCTCGTTTATTGTTAATTTTTTTTAGTATTAAAGAAGAGATTCAAATCTTGATTTATTCTCGAATTATATACGCACTGTAAATTATGCGTTGGTGTATTAACTTATTATTAATTGGTTTATTATATAAATATAATGAAAAATTATTAAAATATAATATTCAAATATTTTGTTTTTGATCATCTGACTTGTTTCCCTTGAAGCTACAAAGTAATCTCCATTGGAAACAATGTACGCACCCTCGAAGTTATACAATAGTAAAATCTTCAAATTCCCTTTTGTGGTCGGGATGAATTTAACAAAAATAATTAGAATTGGTCATTAAGATATAATTGGTCATATATCTGCACAATGTGTAGACAGTATAATTTTATATTTTTTAATTAATTTGAATGAATAATTTTTAAAAAATTATTGCGATTTATATTTGTATTGATTTAGTTTAAATAATTTACTTCGTATATATTTTGATTAAATAATGAAAGGTGGAATTATATGTCCTTTTTGAAATTTTCAAGCAATAAATTAAAATATTTATTTCAACAATAGATTATTGTAACTCAACTGATATAATTATTTATCTTTTCTTTTTAAGATTTTCGTATATTCTATTAAAATGTGTATTAATTTATTAATTTTTCATGATTAAATGATAAGGATATTTAATTATAATGCAAAATTTAATGAATAAAAATTATATTTTAATTCCATTAGTTAATCACATTATTATAATTCTATTATTTAATTAATATTTATTAGTTATAGCTCCACTAGCTTCTATTAGTTTATAATTCCATTATTCAATAAAAAAACTTAATGTTTGTTAAAATATTAACCCTATTAGATTCCATTAGTTTATAACTCCATCATTTAGTAAAAACACTTAATGTTTATCAAATGTGAAAAAAATATTAATCAGAATAAAAAGCAAAATGTCACATTATTGCTTCCATACTTTAATATATTGGCATATCATCATCCGTACTTTAGAAAATATATATTTATATAAATAGATAGGTATTATATTAAATTTTTAATTTAAATAAAACTTGAATTTAGAGTTATAATAAAGTTTAACAATTATAAAAATGGTTGCAACTAACTACTTGATCATATGAAAAATCTCATTTTTTATAATTAGTAAGTTTCGCTCTCTTTATTAAAATTAGGAGTGACCAAATTTCAGAAATAATTGAAAACCGAATTATTTTCGATTTTGGTTCAGTTATTCAATTTCTGCTCACAATCTTCTATAATTTCGATTTTCAATCTTTAGATCGATTATTGAAAAACAATTATTTTTTGAGTAAAATTAAATTAACCGATTCGGTTCGATGTCTAAACTTATTTAGTGCAATTCAATTTCAATAAAGATTTAATTTCAAGTTTTGTAATTCAATTCGATTCACAGTTAAACTGTTGATTTGCACACCCCAAATACAATATGCTTTGAGCCATGAAAAAGCGACCAAGATTTCTTTGCACTTTTCTTTCTGTAGTTGAAAATATTACACCGTCTGAAAAAAAAAAATCAATTATAAAAATTAATTAATTTAATATAATGAGGAGATGAATAAAACTTATTAGAAAGTTCTAAGAAACATTTCATCTTTTAAGAAAGTCATAAAGAGGTGGCAAAGTTTGACCCAACCCACAAACTCATTTCAAATTTCTGCAACGCGTCCAAGTTTGTAGTAGTTAATACACTGGGATCCACTCTTTCTCTGTTATAGATATGTTTGTTTAAGAAAAAAAAAATTACTGCCTCGTGTACAAAAATTATTGCCTCGTGTACATTTTATATTCTAAATATGTCTGCATCATGGGCTTCAGTTGAGCCCAACTGTTTAACCAAAAAAATTATTGCCGCGTGTACAAAATTTATTTATATTCTAAATATGTCTGCATCATGGGCTTGAGTTGAGCCCAACTGTTTAAGCAAAAAAATTATTGCCGCGTGTTACAGTGTGACAAAAATTTATTGGCGGTCGTGTACATTTTTGAATATTTCTACATATGTCTGCATCATGGGCCTTGCAGTTGAGCCCAACTGTTTAACCAACGAAAAAAATTATTGCCCAGCGAATGTACAAAAATTTATTTATATTCTAAATATAGGTCTGCATCATGGGCTTGGAGTTGAGCCCAATTCTGTTTTAAGCAAAAATTATTGCCTGCGTGGTACAAAATTTTATTTATATTCTAAAATATGTCTGCATCAAATGGGCCTTGAGTTTTTATATTCTAAATATGTCTGCATCATGGGCTTGAGTTGAGCCCAACTGTTTAAGCAAAAAAATTATTGCCGCGTGTACAAAATTTATTGCCTCGAGTACATTATATTCTAAATATGTCTGCATCATGGGCTTGATTGAGCCCAATTGTTTAAGCAAAAAAATTATTGCCGCGTGTACAAAATTTATTGCCTCGTGTACATTATATTCGATTACTGCCTAGCCTAAACGCGGAGAAAAGTATATATAAATATAAGGCGACACAAAGACCAAAGTAAAAGTTGACCCAAGTGGAGCTTCCGTTTCTCTAAACGGAGTATTCGAGTTTAGGAGTGAAGAAATGGCGGAACCTCCATTAACGCAAGAAGAGCATCTTGACGTTCTCACTAAAACTGGCGAAAAAACTGGCATTTCCAAGCCCAGGCAAGCCCTTCACTTCCTTCTTTGATCTCTCCTTTGTCCTCCTCATAAACCTAACCGAAGCTCGAAATTAAGCTTACATTAAAGGAAGCAGTTTCACTACTTGCGATCACTTTAAAATTTGAATTCAGCGGTTCCAATTCATCTTATCCACAAATGTTTGTTAATTCTGATTTTTTCCCTTTAATTTGAAAATATGGATGTTGTTTTCGTTATTCAGTCTGTTTGGCGGCCGAGAAGCGGAAAGAAAATAAAAGATTGCAATTGTTATAGTTGTATTTGACTAAGTCAATTGATTTAGTGATAATAAACCTGACTTGTTGAAGTAGTGTAATGTTTCTGTCATCACAGAATTGGTAAAGTGAATTAAAATTTGCTGTTGGCAATGTAGGGGGGAGGTTCATCGAGATGGAGATTACCACCGAGCAGTTCACGTTTGGATTTTTGCAGAGAGTACGCAACAGTTGCTTCTGCAAAAGCGAGCTGATTGCAAGGATTCATGGGCAGGGCAATGGGATATCTCCAGTGCTGGCCATATATCTGCTGGTGATTCATCACTTGTTACTGCCAGGTAAGCCAATTTGGTGGTTCTATTTTGAGAAATTTTCATTTTTTCTGTTTCTTTTCCTGTTAAAAATTAGCTGTTTTCTTGTGCGTTTAGGAGGGAGCTTCACGAAGAGCTAGGTATTATGCTTCCAAAGGATGCATTTGAGTTGATATTCGTTTTTCTTCAAGAATGGTTTGTGAATCAAATCCTTTATTCTCAAGTTCTCTTATATTTTTCTCGACAATATGCTTGGGCTTCGCGTGTATATTTTGTACATGATTCTATTGTCATGTATCAATGGACGGTGGCCAAACTTTAATACTTGGATTACTAATGCCATGTCTGATAAGGTTCCTTGTTAAGGTTGTTATGTAATTACATGCTTTACGCCAATCTGACATTTCTTTTTAGTTCATTACTGCAGTTCTATTGGCCCTTCTCTCTTTTTGTCTTGCATTAACCAAAGGATGCATTTGAGTTGATATTCGTTTTTCTTCAAGAATGGTTTGTGAATCAAATCCTTTATTCTCAAGTTCTCTTATATTTTTCTCGACAATATGCTTGGGCTTCGCGTGTATATTTTGTACATGATTCTATTGTCATGTATCAATGGACGGTGGCCAAACTTTAATACTTGGATTACTAATGCCATGTCTGATAAGGTTCCTTGTTAAGGTTGTTATGTAATTACATGCTTTACGCCAATCTGACATTTCTTTTTAGTTCATTACTGCAGTTCTATTGGCCCTTCTCTCTTTTTGTCTTGCATTAATTCCTGTCAACTTTACAATTTGAATGCAGTGCAATAAATGATGGAAAATATATCAATAATGAATATAATGATGTATATCTTGTAACAACTGTGGATCCAATTCCTCTGGAGGCGTTTACTCTTCAGGTGAGTATGTTAATGATCATCCTCAATTGCATTAAGAATCCATTTGGCTATTTAAATAGCGGTTAGCATAATACTTGAGAAAACCCATGATTTTTGTGTGTAGTAACTTTATATAGCATTTCAAGGGTATATGCACTTAATAAATTAAGTTTTCATTCTAATCCTTCAACCTTGTATCAAACCCTGTCATCTCGTTCTTGTTGTGGTACGATGAACTGAGCTGTTCACCTTCATTATTGTAAAGTTTTATTTTCTGATGTAGTTCTAATATGACTGTACTGAACTCATAAATGTGTTATTCAAACTTAAAACTTGACAGAAGACTTTGAACAAGTGATAATCTGTACTAATTTGATCTGATCTGACTCTTAAATTTAATGTTAGCTATATACTAAAATGTGTATTTCTGCAACATTTATAACCAACGACTTCTATATTGCAAGGTATCAAATTCATTAGCCTGTGATTTATCTTTTTCATTATTTCTTGGAGATCTGCCTGGTCTTTGTATCTGAAAGTTTGAAACACTCTGTGCCACTTGCTAATTATATTTGCAAGTGATTGTATGGAAATTTTATGCTTTGATGTGCAGTACCTGTTAAACTGTAGTGTGTGTGATGTTTTACATTTGTATTAACTATAATTTAAGGCTTCTAGCTTAGTGAATTGTAAGAATCTTAATGTATGTTTATACTTTTATTCCATGTTAGGAAACTGAAGTATCTGCTGTTAAATATATATCCTGTGATGAATATAGAAACTTGCTTGCCAAAGAACATCCTGATTATGTCCCCTACGACATAAATGGACAGTACGGTCTGCTCTTTGAGACAATTAAGCAACGGTATGTTAAACAATGAATGTTGTGAAATTGAATTTGTTTTCCCTGAAGGCCTTTGAGAATATGTGGATTGGGGATCAAATTACTTTGAATTTATTGGGTAACCTTTGGTTATGTGATGAAGATATATAGCATGTAAAAACATTTATGAGAGAAAATCATCTCGGTTCATCATTGCGCATGTAAAAAGGTTATTTTCCTGGTGAAATTTTAATGTTCTTTTCGTCTATCACCTTTTTGTGAAAATTATGTTATGTTCTTGGTTGCCATATTAGGAACTATTCTTCTGCTCCTTTGTTTTGCTGGAAGCCAAATAATGTTTGGAAATCTTTATACTATAATTCTATAAAAGATGAATGCCGGTTGAAAATTACCTCACAGAAGTTCTTAATTTTCTAATAATTCTTTTTTTACTGATCCAAATTTTCCATGTATTTTGCTTAAGATATAAAGAAAACAGTGTAGCACGCAGCTTGACTCTACAAAAGCAACTCCGTCGATATGCTCCTGTTTCTCTCAATGCAGAGGTTATCAACTTTCTCTTCTAGTTTACATGAATCTCTCTAATGTTTTTTTGCTATAATATTTATTTAACTACTGCCGTTGAGATTCCAATGTCAGTCAAATGTGGGTGGCATCGTCTTATAGTGATATATTCCCCATACACTAATTATTCAAACCTATCATGATTTGAGTGTCAGTATGATTGGCGAGTTTTGCTGATATACGTTTTAGTTGTGAATATGGTCAGTGTCTACATTTGTGCTTGTTTACGAGTTGGCGATCTGAATGATTGATGTGTAAAAAGAATGTTAGCATGTTTGCCTGAGAATGCCCATTCTTTGAAGGCAATATTGAATAGAGCAAGAACTATTGAAAGCTGTTGCTGCTTGTTTCCATTTAACAAAAGACAAATGTTAATTGTGAAACATGGTGGGACAATTAATCACCTATTTAAATAGGAAGGAAAATGAGTCTGTCTGTATGCTCATTTCTTAACTCCTAAAAGCATTTATAATTCTGTCCTCTAGGAACTGGGGTATGATTATTCCAAATCCCCAAAAATTGACATATATAATCCTTAAAACTTTTTTTAAAAAGTCTCTAGAGCAATGATCTGAGAATGTCAAAGTTGTCAGTACGTGCATTTGTGTCATAGTTATAATTATTTAAAAGATCTGTCACTCTAGACATGAGCAACCGAGGTGTATGTCTTGCATTCTTGTGAAATTCAGTCAGTTAGCTCACATTTGTTAGATTTATTTCTTTCAAAACCCATCGTGCTATCAGTGTTCTTTTGCTATTAAAATACTATTGTTGTTGTTATTGTGTGCCTTTTGTTTCTTTCTTTTCCACTTTTTTTTTTTTTTTTTTTTGAGATTTATTTCTTTCAAAAAACACCTTCCATCGTGCTATCAAGGTTTCTTTTGTGCTATCTAAAATACTTATTGTTGTTGTTATTGTGTGCCTTCTTGTTTCTTTCTTTCTTTTCTTTCTTTTCCCCTTTTTTTTTTTTTTTTTTCTCTCTCAGGTAAACAAGGTTCATTCATTGTTTTCTCCTTACTGCAGTTGACAGGCCTATCAGATGGAGACAGGAAGGCATTGGGTTTACTCATTAAGGCTGCAAGAGTAGTGGATGACGTCTTTTACCTGCAGGTTTTTTTATCTATGTTAATTTATTTGTGGATAAACATATGCATAGAACTAGGCTAATAATTTGGTGATCCGGGATCACTGGTGTTCCTGAGCAATAATGGCTGTTGGATTTTCGGAATTAATCCTGATCATGCATCCGTTATGTAAAAGAGAGTATATGATATTGAATTTTTATGGTTAACTAATATTAACCATGGTCTTGGATTATGAGACACAAATCAAATAATAATTAATATTTTGCCAAATATACCCTCAGGATCAATGTAGATATTTTCATTACAACAATATTTTAAATCTAAATATTCCAATATATATTATTTTAATTCATATTAAAAATTTCAAATAATCTAATCTGTTCGATCATTCTAGAAATTTTTCATTCAACAAAAAAAAAAAAAAAAAAAAAAAAAAAAAAAAAAAAAAAAAAAAAAAAAAAAAAAAAAAGAAAGAAGAAAAAACTCAGATATAATTGATGTCAGAGAGCCAAATCTCGTCCTTGTAAAAATAGTTTGGGTATGCATGCTCATGGGTAAAAATAAAAGTTTATGCAATTTAAATATCTGAGTTTGGTCTTTTTAAAAAAAAAAAAAAGAAAGAAAGAAAAAACTCAGATATAATTGATGTCACGAGAGCAAATCTCGTCTTGTAAAATAGTTTTGGTATGCATGCTCATGGTAAAAAACTAAAAGTTTATGCATTTAATATCTGAGTTTGTCTTGTTAAAACTAAAAGCTTTTTCAATTGAAGGTTCTTATCTGAATTAAAATGTGGTGTCCATTATTTATGAAGTATGAATTAGTTGACATGTTTCTTCCTTCCTAGGAATTTCAGTTTATTTTTTTATTGTTTTTTACAAAAATAATTGACATATGAGCCTGTTCTATGTTGTTGAGATTTGTAATATCCTCTAATTTCTAAATTCTAATGGTGCCTCTGCTCATTTTCCCCCTTATTCAGGTTTGGTGCAGCAATCCAGCTCTAAGGGATTGGTTGATAGAGCATGCTAATACATCAGAATTGGATGAGCTCAAATGGAAGTATTATTTGATTAATAAGAGTCCATGGTAAGTCTTCTTTGGACTGCCCCTTTGAGTTATCTGTGTGTCTCCATGTGTGTGCACACATGATTTTGCAATGTCCGAAGAGAGGCTACTTTCCAAATCCGTTGTTCATCCTTGAAATTTTAACCACATCTTTTATTTACTATGTTGAGTGTCAGTTCCAAGTGAATCATTATAATCTATCGCACACACTAGTTATGTTAAACAAAGACAATATAATGGACACTGTAAGTTTGTGACTGCCAAAAATGTAATAAGTATGTTATTATTGTTCTGGTAGAAAAAGGTTTGTTAAGGAAGACGGAATAGATTACAAATTAAGGATATGGTATGCCCCTTCTTAGGAACCAAACAAAATGAAAAGACAAAAAGAACAAAGTAATGCACTCCGATAATCTTAACTCCTCACTATAGGTACAATGCTAAAGTCCGCTTAGAAACACATAATGAGCCTATGAAAACTATTTTATATCATAGCAACTCTAGAGGAAGATCTGATTCTTCAAGGGAGCATTTGTCACAAACCAAATATCCCAATCACCAGCAAAGCTGCACAATGCCATAACCTCGCAGCTTGTTTCTTTTTTATTGTCAGAAAATTCTTGACTGTCTTCAATAGTGTGCACCTTTCCTCAAGCTGATAATTGATTCCAAATGTACCTAGAAGCCGTAAAACAAGGAAACAGTGTCTGGACACCCCTTCTTCTTTTTCCTTTTTCATGTGCATAGATTTATGACATTGGTAGACTATGATTAACCAGGCAGCATTGCCATTCAGTTCAGAAACAAACAAGCTTGTCCCTGGAAATTGATGACTCTTCTGGAGAAGATGGACCACTTAGGCTTTGCAAAAGAAGATAGAAATTGTGGACAACATTTTAAAATGTTCTACCTCACATTCTTTCTCACGCATAATCCCTTTTTCTTTCTCACCACCACCTCCTCTTTTGACTCAGCATATATATATATATATATATATATACACACATTGGTCCATGACAATGCAGGAATGTTGTTCTTCTTCCTTTCTTTTTTTTTTTTTTTGGTAGTTTGATGTTTTACTTTTAACCTTCCTGTCCTGCATCATGTTCATGTGACCCCTTAAAACTTGTATTATCCATGAAAGTATCTGACGTGGTTTAGTAAGCTGTCCGATTTACCCGTCTTAGACAAATAATCATGTTATTGTTGGCGTGATAATTTGAGAGAGAAAACGGGTGGGTATTAAGAATATGAATCAGAGAATTTAATGATAAAAGACATTATTTAAAGGTAAAAATGACAATCTAAAGCATACCAAGCATCTTTAATACTTATAGACAAGTCTTCTTATGTTTTTCTCTTTTCAATTTTAGGAGGCCACTAAGTCCATGTTCTCTATGCCGGTGTTTACCCCATACTCTTTTGTGTCTATACATCATAGGATAAGAGAGAGAGAGAGAGAGAGAGAGAGAGAGAGAGAGAGTTTTCAGGAAGAGTAGGAGACAAGGAAAAGATGAAGTGATTGATGATTCATAGAGGAATGACCATTCTTCTGGATGTCTCTGATATTTCATAAACTCTAGTTCTTAGCTCATATTTTCATCTAAGGTTGATAGCATTGAAAGTGACTTGTCCTCAGCAAATGTAGTTAACATTCTGATTTCTTGAACCAAGCAAACATAGTTGACAGATTTCTCACCTCAGCTGTGAATTTTTGTATTTGATGAATGGCCAGTGAATTTTGAAAGAAATATCCTCCAATTATAATCCATTTCTACCAACAGGTCCTGTCTTGATGAGAATAAGGCATTTTTAACGACAGCAGATTCGGCCATAAAGTTGCTTCCTGAAGCCATGAAGCCAATAAATGGATGGAAGGGTCTGGAATATAAAGCATCATTCCCTATCCGAAAACCACCCGGTGCAAATTTTTATCCGCCAGACATGGATAAAATGGTTAGTAAGTAAAGCTCATTATACAGTTTGAAAAGGTATCTTTTAAATTAAGATCCATATCATATAGGAGAGACTGTGCCTCTGGCTTGCTGCAGCAGTCACAATTTATAATCTTTTATTTTCATACCCACTATTTAGACTAACGAATTTCTCATGTTATAGGAATTTGAATTGTGGAAAGGAACTCTGACAGAGAATCAACAATATGATGTAACGGGTTTTTTCACTGTTATCAAAAGGCACAGCGAACTTGATTTGGAGTCATCTCTATTAAATCATACAGTTGATGGTACTGGTCATTTGATGGGTGTTCATGATCTATATAGCATCCCCTACTCAAAAGAGTATAATTCTCTGCTCAGAAAGGCTGCTGAACTATTGCATAAAGCTGGGGATGTGGCTAGCTCATCTAGGTATAAATGTTTCTAGATTTTTTTGTTTTTGTCAGCATATTTGTGAGATGTTGAGTTGAATTCTGTTAGACTCAGATTTTGGCTAACAATCTGTATTTTGATGTGTAGTTTGAAGAGGCTACTACATAGCAAAGCTGATGCATTCCTTTCAAATGATTATTATGACTCAGATATAGCCTGGATGGAATTGGTTTGTACCGATATATGTTTCTTTTTGTACTTTCCTAAAAGTATTCATACCTATTCATACCTGTATTTAGTAGTCGGGGTTAGTATACAGTGACAGGACCCCTTACGATTTCATAACTTTTATTTTTTTTTTTCTGGCATTGAGATATTGACACATCTTAGCACAATTTTTGTAGTACATGAGACTCCCCCTTAATATATTTCACTACGAGTAATGAATGTCTAGTTCAAAGAGAATTGTTGGAAACAATGTGTAGTAAGGGGCTGAAATGTCTTTTGATCATATAGACAAATTTTTTGTGAAGCTGCAGTAAATTTATCGTAGATGGAAGTTTCAGTGTTTATTTATTATGTTATTTCATTTGTTCACAATTGATATAGAATTAGGTGGTATAGAAGCATTTAATATCGAGAGAACTAATACCAAAGCTAAATTGAGGAAATGGATCTATTTAGCCAATTCCAACAAGTTTGAGATTAAAGCTTTTTGTTATGTTCTTTTTTTTTTTTGCCAAATTTATATAACAATTGCAATCCTCCACTGCTTTGTATGAAATCTTCTAGGTTTACCTTTTATGTTGGCCCTATCAGGTGCCTAGGCTGTTAGCACTGTCATCAAAGTCTGATGAGATTTATATCTGTTTTCATTGTATAGGATTCTAAGCTGGATGTAACTATAGGTCCATATGAGACATATTTAGACACTCTTTTTGGATACAAGGTAATATTTATGTATAGCAAATGCTTTTCTTCTATTTTAATGTCTGGTCATTAATAAACTTCCTATTTTTTTGCAGAATGTATGATAATTTTCATCTTCAATTGCTTCCAGTTTGGAATATTTATGATTTTTTTATCCTGCATATCACCATTTGAGTTAGATCTTCTAATTCCTTAATGTTAAACACTTCAGACTAACAATAATAAGTATTGCATGAAAGATCTAATAATGCATGAACCATCAAATTTGAAATGGAATTTAATTTCCTTGATTATGTAAAGCTACTGATATTGAGTTGTTAATAAGCATAAAATGTTTGAACATTTTAACTAATTTCTCTTGCTTTTTTAAGTATATAGTCATAGTTTTCACTCTCAAATTTACAAATCTGTTTCACCCTCATAAATTCTCTGAGGCATCAATAAGTTTGCATGAAGATAAACTAGAACACAAAAAATTGATCTGTGTTTCCGGATGTATGAATAAATTTAGTGGTGTAGCAATTTGTTCATCATTCGAACCAAAATGCATGGACTAAAGTTTAGTGATGATAAAGCTCAAGGGATGAGATACAAATGAAATGATTTTTTATGTCTTTTCTCATCTTGTTCTTGTGGAAGCTCGTCACTTTTTTCCTGTTTGGTCCAAGGAAAATTCATATGTCCATGGTTCTCTGTATGTCTTTCCGGGTGCACAACAGAAAATATACCCTGTTCAACAATGCTAGTGACCTAGTATTCGTTTTGTCTAGTATAATGTCTAAACAGTGATTGATGATTTATTTAAGTTCAGGTCTTGATTGGCACCCTTATTCACAGCATTTCTTCACATAATTGTGTCAAAGGCCCTCTAATATTTTTTACCCTTGGTTAAGCTTTTTGTTTGGGCCAATGCAATACACAGATTTTTAAGGTTTGGAATTGACTTCACTGGCTTCTTTTTGAATCTGTTCAGTTACATGATTTACCTACCTTCCATGGTGAACTTGAGTTACCGGTGAATTGATGAAGTTAAAACTTGTTACTCTTGACTGCCATTGGGAAAAATGTTAGGAGATGGCCAATTTATATACTTTGGTTGCAACATACATCAATAAGCAACTTATTTGGAAATTACCGGGTCTTGAATATTGTGATCAGATAGTTTTAAATTTAAATGAAACCTCCATTAACCATGTATTTTTGTTATTGTTTGTTAACTTTCTTAGTTGGAACATGTTGCTTATAAAGTTGCATTCTTTTTGTTTTAGGCTACATTTGAAGCATTCATTGGAATCCGAGATGACGAAGCAACAGCTCAACTAAAGCTCTTCGGCGATAATTTGCAGGTACTTGGAGTTATCTGCACCAAAACCTGTGACACCTTGACTTCCTGTTTATTTATTCTCTCAGCAGGAACATTTCTTTCTACTTGCTGATGAATTATATGTCTAGGTTTTGGAACAAAATCTTCCAATGGATAATGCCTACAAATCTACAAATGTTAATGCTGCTCCTATTCGTGTCATCCAACTTATCTATAATGCAGGGGTGAGTTCAAGGAATTATATATTAGAATTTCTTTTTAAAAAGAGAAAAAAAGGGGGGGGGGGGGGAATGCTGCTCCTATTCGTGTCATCCACTTATCTATATGCAGGGGTTGAGTTCAAGGAATATATATTAGAATTTTCTTTTTAAAAAGAGAAAAAAAGGGGGGGGGGGGGTTTGTTGGTAATGGCCTATCGGTTCGGTTTCAACTTAAGAATCAAATTGTACTGTAGATGAACCGAAATCGGACTGGAACTGTCCGGTTCAAGGGGGGGGGGGTTGTTGGTATGGCCATCGGTTCGGTTCAAATTAGAATCAAATTGTACTGTAGATGAACCGAAATCGGACTGGAACTGTCGGTTCAAAAGTTTTGAACCGAAATCGGCGGTTTAAGGGCCGGTTAGTGTTCATGTAAATGTTAAAATCTGAACATGAACTGCAGTTCCAGTCCGGTTCGAATTGGAAATTTTTATTTTTATTTTCAAAATTATAATCACTTAGCCTATTTATACACAAGTCTAAATAATTTTTTATTGCATAATACACTTTACTTAAAATGTTTTTTTTTTTTTTAAATACATTTTACGTAAAAAAGTAAAATGGTTAAAAAAAAAAAAATGAAATGCTTTGTCTAAAATTATATTGTTTGATTCAAAAGAGAGTTTAATATTTTTTTCTTTTAAATTTTTTACTTAGTTCAAAATTATTTGAAACATTCTTCAAATTTTTCTAACAATTTTTTTAATTAGTAATATTTAGAAAAAAATAAAATGATAATTTATTTGATTATTCTGTAAAATTAATTAATTTTATTTCTCATATGAGTGTGAGCATTCTAAAAGTTATTTAAAATAAAATTTACCAATATTTTTTTAAATTCACAATAACTTTTTCGAAAGAAAGACGTAAACTTAGATTTCCTTACAATCTCTTCTATGAAAAACCATCAAAATGTTCTACATAGATATTTCCAATTGCCACTGACAAAATGAATGCAGTTGATAGCTACCATTCCGTTGTAATCTTTATCTGGGTAACAACTTAGACTAATAGGTCCTTATTTTATCAGGATGTGAAGGGTCCTCAGCCTGCTGCTTTTAACTTACCAAATGACGAGCGGATAGTAAAAGAGCGAGGAACTTCAATGGTCATGCTTAAGAATGTTTCAGAGGCCAAGTACAAACTGTTTCCTTAAAGTTTATGTTACTATAATTAGTCATTACGTTTTGTTCATTTTGTCACTCTTTTACAATGTTTTATAATTTGATGTAGTCTAAATGTTGGACATGACCATTCTAACTAGGTTCAAGCATATTCTTCTGCCTATAGCTGATGTGTGTATTTCCAAGGAACAAAAGGACCTTGTAAATTTTGAATCTTTCTTTACACACATCATCTGCCACGAATGCTGCCATGGTATAGGGCCTCATACAATAACACTTCCAAATGGTCAAAAGTCTACAGTGAGAAAGGTTAGTTGTGTAATTTTATGCCATCTCTCTTCCATTTATGGATTTCATGTGTTTTTATATTTTTTACATGATCTTTTTCACACCAATCATAAAACTAAATTCCATACATTTTTATTTCGATCATTAAACATGTTCTGGCAGCAACAATGAAATCACCCCATTTCTATAGAAGAAAGTAATAGTATGAAAATTCATAATTTTCTAGGTAGTATGTTAGTGGCATTTTGTTCACTCAGTTACCTGTTTGACATTGGAATTTGAAAAACAAAAAGGCGATATTGTCTGCTAAGTCACTTTTAACTTGAAACAGTCATGATTCCATATGAATTATTATTTGATTTAGGAAGCCAACATCTCCCGTCATTTTCCATGTTTTCATTTCTATGTTTTGACACAGGAGCTGCAAGAACTCCACTCCACTTTGGAAGAAGCGAAAGCTGATATAGTTGGCCTTTGGGCACTGAAGTTTTTAATCAACAAGGTTAGGAATCGCTTGACATAAAAATCATGACTTCCGGGGCCCAAAAAAATGTCTACCAGTTTACATTCCCGCTTCATAGATACTGAATTCTGTCATCCAAGCAATACATTAGCAAAGGTGAATTATGTAGTCACCAAACTGTGATGATAAAAATATCATGTGTCAACTCAAGTAGCTTATGATATTCTAATTTGTGTTTATGTAAATTCTCTTTAACCTTGTGTTCCTTGTGTTCTGCAAATTTCTCATCTTTGTGAGCTAGAAATTTGATAGAACAGTGTCCTGATTTGATTCCACTCTAGTTTTTTTTGTCCAGTTGTTATATAGATTTTGTGTTTGTCTACCGAACCTAGGAAATGCAATATTGTGAGGCTATACATGAAAGTTGGGTCCTGTCTGTGTGTGCATGCCTTTTCTATCTACCTACCTGTTTATTCTTACATGCGCATCTGAGGAGTGCAGGACTTCCTTTCAAAGAGTTTCATAAAGTCTATGTATGTTTCTTTTCTTGCGGGATGCTTTCGCTCAGTTCGATTTGGTTTAGAGGCAGCTCATGGGTAAGTAACTACTCGTCCTTCTTTGGTCCACTGATTAATTTTACTGATCATTCTATCTACTCAATATTGTCAGAAAAGGACAAGCAGTGCAGTTCAACTGGTTATTTGAGAAAGAGGCGTTCATTTTGCAACCAGATGAGACATTTTCTGTTGACTTTGCTAAGGTATAGTATAGTCATTCCTAATTCCCTTATTAGTTAACTTCTCTGGCTGTAATACTAAGACCATAAACTCTGTTTCATTGAAAGGTTGAAGTGGCAGTTGAAAGCCTTAGCAGAGTGATACTAACCATACAGGCAAGAGGTGACAAAGAAGCTGCAAATTTGCTGCTTCAGAAGTACTGTAAAATGACAGATCCATTAAAACTTGCACTGCACAAATTAGAGAAAGTTGAGGTACAAGCTGTGAAATTTGCTACTTTTCAATTCATGCATATATTTGCATCTAATTAGAGGTAGACTGTCAATTAAAAGGCCGTTTTTTCAATATGTTTTCATTGAATGGGATATAGTCCAATTGTTTTCTGTAGACATTTCATTTATTATTTCAAGTAGATTGTATGAGTCATTTCTAATTCATATTGTGAAAAAAATTAAATTTATCTGTATGGTCACCTTGTGCCTTTTGGCTGATAAAATCTGCATTTCTAAGAGGATAAAACTGTACTTTCCAATGGCATGCAGATTTTTGGCTCTAAACCTGTTTTAAGAATATCAATTTAATGATTATTTATCTTTGTCAAAAGCTGTGCCACTTAATGGATGGAATTAGGCTCATAAGCTTCATGAAAAGAGAGAGATTTGACAGAAATATTAGATCAAGTCTTACTGACAAATAGGTTATATTGCAGTAATTATAAAGTAAACAATAGTTTTTTTCTAAAGACTTAGATTTTGATAACAATTAAAGTTCAAGATTACATTTGGCAATGCTTTATTGCAATTTCCAATTATACTAATGGTTTTCATTATTATGTCGTCCTTGCCTGCGTCTTTCAGGTGCCAGTGGATATAACTCCAACATTTCCCTTAGCTGATGAAATACTGGGGTAGAGGCAATCTGCTGGTAATGGTACAAGCCTCACACCTAGTGTTTGACTTGCCTATTCAGATCAACTTCATGGCAATAATTAGGATTTTCCTCTTTGAATTCTGATTAAATAAATGCCGTTATATTCAATATTTGTATAATTAAAATCCGAACATTTGGTATGTCTTATTATTTATATTTGAGTAATGCCATTTCTTTTCCTCCATTGTGTATGAACTTTGGTTTAGACTCTTTTCTTTCAGATGATGGCACAAGTCTGTTGATGGATGGTCATGATCTACTTATAATTCCATGGTTGAGAGTCTTGGAAATTTTCTTTTATTTTCCCTTTTCTTCTCCTTAACTTCAACCTCTTCTTTTTTTAATTTCTTTGTTTCCCTGATATTGACTGAACAATTTGAATTTGAAGGATCAGAATGTCTATACTCTCTATATGTAAACTGAAAAGGATGTGCAACAACCAATTTAACATTCAACAGGAAATTCATTTTGGGTGAGAAAAAAAAAAAAAAAAAACTTGATTTAAAAATTCAACAGGAATTCATTTTGGGTGAGGAAAAAAAAAAAAAAAAAAACTTGAGATCAACTACGCTTTAACCATATGGAATATTTATTATTATTATTATTATTTTTATTACTGGGGTAGAGGCAGTATGCTGGTAATGGTATGAGTGTCGCACCTTATGTTTGACTTGCCTATTCAGGTCAAACCTATGGTATCTGGCAATCTTTGGAGCTTTCCTCGTGTAGCCAGTTCTAATTAAATAAATGTCATTGTATTAAGAATTAAATTATCTGAGCTTTTTAAATTACTTTTTTCTGGAACTAATTTCCTCTCAGGCAGAAAAATTCAAGGGTTCTTTAGCTCTCTTAATAATCAAACCTCTATTATCACTTTTATGTTATAGGAATCGAAGTCGTTTATTACCTCGTTTAATATATTGGTAATAGCTTTCTAAATTACCAAAGATCAACTGATCAATAACTCCACTCTGAAGTTTATTTTGTATAAGGTTTTACGTTCGTCTTATTAAAATTTTTCTATTGTTTGTATACATAATTTAAATTATTCTTCTATTGGTAATGAAAGAAATTAGTTCGATAATGTAATTGGGATTTTTAAAATATCAGTGAAAGCAGGCATTCAAATATTATAATATTGTAACTTGCGTGCCAACTAGAAGCTAAATTAAAAAAAAAAAAAGACCATGGTTGACAGAAAAGTTGGGCTATATATATACACATATGTATTTCTCTAACTAGAGAAGGAGAAATAGTTTAGAGAAGAAATGAAGGAAACTGCTCCATTGGAACAGAAAGAGCACCTCGACGTTCTCACTAAAACCGGTCAGAAAACCGGCGTTATCAAACCCAGGCAAGCCTATTATTTGTTTGAGCTAATTATATTTTATATTTTATTTTTATTTTTATGTTCAACTTTAGTGAACTATTAAAAAAAAATTATAATCAAGTGAATTTAGTTGGCCAAAATGTCAAAATAGACCATTTTACCATCAAAGATAAATAATCATTCAATTCATCATGCACACTAAGAAACTATTTTAGTGCATATACGACCTGAATACTAAGAAACTTATTTTAAGTGCAATCAATACGACCTGAAATTTATATATATTATATATATCATATATATATAATATAGTTATATATATATATATTAGTGTGTGTGTTCTTTTAAGGTTTTTATTAATATATATGTGTGTGTTTTTTAAGTTTTTATTATCTTATATCTGTTTTCTAAGAAAAATTTCTTTTTAATTTTATTTAGAGTTCAAAACACGATATAAAAATGAAGCAAGAAAAAAAAAAAGAAAGAGAATAATCTACAAAATTAAATAAAGTAATAGGGGAATAGTTAATTTTGATTTTTAGAGGAAAAATTTCAGTTATATACACTTAATTGTATAAAAATTATTAATTCATATATAGTTTTTTCCATGCCAAAAAAAAAAAAAAAGAATTAATTAATCCTAATTTAAAATCCGTTTCTATTTTCATTTTTATTATTAGCCATGCAACAGTTAAGCTTCAATTCCAAACTAGTTGGGACAAGTATATGAATCCTTCTGCTCCGTTAACCATTAAATTTTGGTGGTGCTGATAAGTAGTAGGTCTTTTGAGAGGATTTTAACCTTTTTTTGGCAATGTATGTAGGAGCCAGATTCATCGAGATGGAGATTACCACAGAGCAGTCCACGTTTGGATTTTTGCAGAGAGTACACAACAGTTGCTTCTGCAAAAGCGAGTTGACTGTGGGCTGTGGGATATCTCTAGCGCTGGCCATGTATCTGCTGGTGAACCATCACTTAAAGCTGCTAGGTGATCTAAATTTTACTGGATTCTCGTCCTTTTGGCAGTCTGGTGTTCAAATTTATTGTTTTGTTCTGATTATTGTTATGCTTTCAGGAGGGAGCTTCATGAAGAGCTTGGCATCATCCTTCCGGAGGATGCGTTTGAATTGTTATTTGTTTACACTCAACATAGGTTTTCCAATCAAACCCTTTTCTAAATTTCTTATGTAATGGTTTTTATTGGTTGTTCTGAAAAATGGACTATGACCCTTCACTTTCAGGTTTTCACCTATTAACTTACCTTAGCTAGTTTCTTTCTATTATTGTTGCACATTGCAGTATTAATACAATCCCAAAGTCTATATACCACCAATGAAAGTCTGTTTCAGTAGTCTGATTGAAAATATAGTATTTTACTATATTTTAGTTGGAGAACATAAAAAAATTTGCATGGATTAGTATTATTGTGAAGCCCTTACAGTTCCCTTACTTTGATTTCGTGGAACATTCTTTCAGTAATACAAACTGACGGCTTTTTTTTTTTTTTTTTTTTACGGCTTTGTTTTTTTTATTTTTTTTTTGAACCAGTAATACAAGTTGAATGTTGTTTTAAATAATATGAAGGAGTTTTGGTTTTCAATAGTATGAACATTTTATTTCTTGCGACAATGCTTTTTTTTTTTTTTTTTTGAAACAGTAATACAAGTTGATGTTGTTTAAACTAATATGAGGAGTTTTGGTTTTTCATAGTATGAAACATTTATTCTTGGACAATTTCTTCCTCTTTCATTGTCTGAAACATTTATTCTTCTTAGTTCATTAACTATTTTCGTTCAGTGCTCCTCTCTTTTGGGTTTGCATTAATTGCTGTTAACTTTATATTTGAACGCAGGGTATTAAGAGGTGGCGAATATATCAATAATGAATTTGATGATGTGTATCTTATAACAACTGTAGATCCAATTCCTTTGGAGGCATTTATTCTACAGGTAAGCATGTTAATGCTTATTGGCAACTGAAACTTGAATCCATTTGGCAATATAAATTGAAATTAGTCCAGATACTAGAGAAAACACATTGATTGTATATAAAATTTGGTGTGACTTTATATGGTGTGAGGCTATCTTCACTTAATTAAGTTTTCACTCTAATGCTGTAACGTTGTATCAAAACTTGTCATCATATTTTTTTGCTGGCAAGATGCTGTTCACCTTCATAGTTATCATAGAGCTTCTTGTGTTGATATAGTTTTATTAGGCCTGAGCTTGTTAATGTCTTATTCCAACTTGAAGGAAAACTTTGAAGAAGTTACAACTTAAATCTATAAGAATTAATTTTACCCTTAAATTTAATATTAGTTGTGTATTAAAAGCTGCTTTTTCTCCTGTTTATAAGAAATTGCTTCTACATTACTGAGCATCAAAATCAATTCCTTGTGACCTCTCTTTTTTCACCCAAGGCCTGGCCTGGACTTTGTATCTGGAACTTCGGAACACTTTGCGCCACTTGCTAATTATTTTTCTAGTAATTGTATATCTGTTCAACTATATTATGCCTGATGTTTGACATTTATATCAAACAATAAAATTAAGGCTTCCAGCTAGTAAAGTGTAAGGATCTGATTTCACACTTATGCTTTTGCTCTATGTTAGGAAACTGCAGTATCTGCTGTTAGATATGTTTCTTATGAGGAATATAGAAGCTTACTTGCCAAAGAACATCCTGATTACCTACCCTGTGATGTAAATGGACCATTCGGTCAACTCTTCGAGATAATTAAGCAACGGTATGTTATACAGTAAATGTCATGAATAGATTCGGTATCACATCTTTTATCAACTGACAAAATCACCTTTTTCTGTGAAATTGACTATTTTTCCCAAGTTTTTTGGAAAAATTGTGTGGATCTGGCCTCTGTGAAATAATTTTCTTTGATTTTCTTGGGTAGCATCTGGTCACATCCTTAAGATCTATAGCATATGAAAAAATTTATGAAAGCGAAAAATCATTTTGGTTCATCTTTGTGCATCCAAAAAGATATTTGGCTGGTTAAATTTGTCCTTTTTGTCTGTCACTTTATTCTGAAAACTATAAGCTGTTCTGGGCTTCAATCGCAAAAAGCTATCCTTCTGTTATTTTTCTGGCATACAAATATTCTTTTTGAAAATCTTTTATCAGTTTATGCATATATTCTATAAAAGATGAATAGCAGGTGAATGTTGCCACGGAATTCTTAAAATTCTGATAATTTTCTGCTTATGCCATGGATTCTGTCTAATTTGCTTAAGGTATGGAGAGAACAATGTAGCACGCAGCTTGACTCTACAAAAGCAGCTCCGTCGATATGTACCTGTTTCTCTCAATGCAGAGGTTGTCTACTTTCTCTTCTAGTTTCATCAATCACTCAGATGCCTTAATTGCTATTCCCTCTGTCCCAAAAAGATAATCACATTTCTTTTTTTACAAATTTTATGAAAATGCAATTAATGTAGTGATAATTTATGTGTTTCCTTTTTCTACCCTTATTAATGTAGTAATAAATTAGCTCCAAATTTATAATCTGGATGTAACTAAATGCAACTACATGCAAAAGTGAATTTATTGAAGGGTAAAATGGGAAAAAAAAACTTTAATATTTATTCAACTTATAACCTTTGAGCTCTCAACGCGGGACAAATTTAGGATAGCGATATCGTATTGTCATACATAGCCCATCTATATATATAGTATTTTGGTTCTACATATTGTTTCTTGATTTGTGTGTCGTTTGAATTGGCAAGTCTTGCTCAATATGTGTTAAATTGAATAGTAAATATCTTCAGTAACATATTTGCCAGTTGATATACATTTAATTTGAGTGATTGATGTGTAAAAAGAAAATTGACTTGAGCAATAGACAGTAAAACATGGTTGCAATGCCCATTCTTTGGAAGTTATTGAATACAAGAGCAAGAGAATAATTAAAAAGTATTCGCTGCTTGTTTTTCATTTAACAAAAGACAAATATTGATTACAAAATATGGTGGGACTATTACATTATCTATTTCGAGAAATTACTTAATGAAGAAAAATTAATCAGTCAGTATAAGAGGTTGCATTCATTTCTTTGCGCCTAAAAGCTCACTTGTTCTATTCTATCCTTTAGGAACTTGGTGGTTATTTCAAAACCAAAAAATGAGATATGTAATCATTAAAGAATTTTCCAAAAATTGTCTAGAGTGATGATGTGAAAATAGCAAAGTTGTATATGCAGTCTAAGCATTTCATAAGTGAAACAATTGCAATTGATTAGAAAATTAATGGAATTGGAAGGTCATTAGTTCTGAAGGTGATATGTCATGCATTTCTTGGAACTTTATCAGTTTGGCTCATTTTGTCAGATTCATTTTAGATTTATTCGAATTTGAGGTGTTTTGGAGAAGTAGAATGTTTTGTTTTTTAATTTTGCAAACTTATTCTTCCGAATCCTTCTTACCATTAATGTTCTTTGGTGCTAAAATACTGTGTTTGTATATCCTTTTAAAAAAAAAAAAAAAAAAAATTGGATTCTGTATATAAATGCCTGATAAATCAAGGTCCTTTCTGCAGTTGACAGGCCTATCAGATAGAGACAGGAAGGCATTGGGTTTACTTATTAAGACTGCAGGAATTGTTGACGAAATCTTTTACCTGCAGGTTTTTTATCTATGTTAATTTATTTGTGGATACATATATGCACACAAATGGCTAATGATAAGCACATCAATCTTTATAAGTTGCCGGAATCTGAGAAATTGCTTTTAATGTATTTGTATAACTGTATTTGAGCTGCACCACATAGTTGGCTTATATATCCTTTAAAAGGATATTATTACCTTGTGATCAGAATATTTATAAAAGTCTTTTTTCTGTTTGAGAAAAATTATTTGTTATAATTGTTAGAAAGATTAGGTTAGACTCTTCAGCCTTCATACTATCCTCTAGATCTCATTGCCTTGACTTGGCTACATTTTGGAAATGGGCACCTAGTGTTCAACGCTGTTTTCATTCTCTTTTTGTTTGTTGTTGGTGGTGGGGGTGGGTATTGGGGAGAAAGAGGGAGGTAGAGATAGCAGTACAAACAAAATGAGAAACAAAAGATCCTAGGTTTGGAATTTACTAGAACCATCCATTAGCTCCATGAAACACTGCCTTGGAACCATTTGGTCAGTTGATTCCTTGATGTCATGAGATTTGGTTAAAACTTACAACAATTCACAGAAGCCAACCAACCATATCAAAGCTTAGCCGTTTAAAAGAAACATGACTATAATTTGATATGGATACGGATGATAAAAGTTGAAGTCATTAATCTTTGGTTTTTATGGTTACCTTGTCCCAGTTGTTGCTTTCATTGGATTCCTATTTCCTGAATGAAAAGGTTGGCATCCATTATGTAAAAAGTATAAATTCACTGTTTGCATTGAACTTACATGTTTCTCCCTTACTATGAATTCCAGTTTATTAGTGTATTGCAAAAGCAATTACTAGTTAATGCAGTGAGCCTATCTCTTCATGCTTTCACAGTTGAGGTGTTCACTAATTTCTAGTGGTGTCTTTGTTCATTTTTCCTCCTTAATCAGGCTTGGTACAGCAATCCAGCTCTAAGGGATTGGTTGAAAGAGCATGCTAAGACGTCAGAACTGGACAAACTCAAATGGATGTATTATTCCATTAATAAGGGCCCATGGTATGTTGTCTTTGAAATGTTCCTTCTCTGTCGACGTGAACGCGTGCATATCTGAGGAAAGACTAGTTGCAAAACCATCTTTCATCTTTTAATGAAGTCTAAACCACATCCTTTGTTTATTATAAATGTTAATTCCAATTAAATCATTCGCAATATATGTGCCAATAGTTGTGTTAAACAATGACAATGCACTGGATGGTGTAAGTTTGTACCTCCCAAAAATATAGAAGGTGTATTACTATTACTTTGATTATTCTGAAAGAAAAGGTCATTAAGGAAGAAGGAATATATTGCAAATGGGGGGTATTATATCGTCCTCCTAAGGAACTGAACAAAATGAGAGGACAAAAATAATGAAGTAATGCACTGCAGCCATATCTGTCTACGCATTGTAGTATGAGAGATATTATTCAGGAAGAATCGGAGATAAGGGATAAAGAAGAAGAGGATGTCTATGACTTTTCATTCCTGTTTTTTCTTTGATCACTTTTTCATGTGATGTCTTTTGACAGAGAAAGTGACTGATTACTCGCCAAATATTGTTAATGCTCTGAATTCTTAAACCAAGCATCCTATGCAGTTGACAGATTTCACATCTCATCTGTGAATCTTTCATTTGATGACAACTAGTATAAACTTTGAAACAAAATATCCATAAATTATAATCTATTCTCTATCAACAGGTCCTGTCTTGATGAGAATAAGGCTTTTCTGACGACAGCAGATTCAGCCATAAAGTTGCTTCCTGAAGCTATGAAACCAGTAAGTGGATGGAAGGGTCTGGAATATAAAGTAGCATGTCCCATGCAAAAACCACCTGGTGCAAATTTTTATCCTCCAGACATGGATAAAATGGTTAGTAAGGAATGCTCATCATACACTTTCAAATAGAATCTTAAAATAAGATCCACATCATGTACAAGTGACCTGCCATTGGTTTACTGCAGCAGTCACAATTTTATACTTTCTTATTTTCAGATCCATTATTGAGATCAATAAATTTCTTTTGTTATAGGAATTTGAATCATGGAAGGACACTCTAACAGATGATGAGGAACATGATGCAACGGGTTTTTTCACTGTTATCAAAAGACACAATGAACTTGGTTCAGACTCTTGTTTGTCAAATCATATATTTGATGGCACAGGTCATTTCACGGGTGGTCATGGTCTACTTAGTATTCCATACTCAAAAGAGTATAATTCTCTGATCACAAAAGCTGCTGAACTACTACATGAAGCTGGGGATGTGGCTAGCTCACCTAGGTATAACGTTTGCCAGATTTGTGTTCTCAACAGCTCATTTATTACACATCATCCTGAATTTTGTTGCACTATCAGATTTTCACTAAATCTTTCTTGCGCCATGTAGTTTGAAGAGGTTACTACATAGCAAAGCTGATGCATTCCTTTCAAATGACTATTATGACTCAGATATAGCATGGATGGAATTGGTAAGAACCCTTTTATTCTTTTAGCATTCCTGAAAATCATACCTATATTTTGATATTTGGTTCAGTACACGGTGGAAAGACCTCGTGTGGAACAGACAATCCCTTTTAATTTAATCATTTTCTTTTTCTTTTTTGTGCATTGACCACTGACACATTTTTATAACAGTTTCTGTGGCTTGCAGCCAGACACCCCTTCTTTCAAGTATTTTTCATTCACAAGCTTTGATTGTGAAATGCCAAAAATTTATGAGAAGGTCTCAAATAAGTTCTAGCATGGGGCTAAAATGTCTTTTAATCTGTCAAAGCTGCAGTCAATGGATTTCCTTCTCAGTTTCAACTTTTTATCATTATTGTGTTTGGCTTGTTTAAAACATGATATAGAATGAGGTGGTACAGAAAGATTCAATATAACCAAGATCTAAAAGAAATTTCAGCTCTTAAAAAGCTAAATGGAGGAAAGGACTCATTTATAAACTGCAACAAGTTTGTGATTTAAGCTGTCCAGTGAGTTTTATTATGTTTCTTGGTGTCCGTCTCATCTCTTACAATATAGCATTTGTTTATCAAATCTCAGAAAGAATTACAATTCTCCACTAATTTGTATTATATTAGGCTGACATTTTGATGAATTTGTGTAACCTTTAGCAGACAAAAAGTAAAATTAGTAGGCTTTAAAGGAAAGCATGAATAAACATTTGTAGGTTCAACGAGAATTTTTTTTCTCAAGTTTAGACCCTGTGAGGTGTGAGTTTTCCTTTTATGTTATCCCAACAGGTGCTTAAGCCTTTTAGCAGTCACATCAAAGTCATCTGCATTTATATCTGTTTTGCTTTTGTAGGATACTGAGCTGGATGTAACTATAGGTCCATATGAGACATATGAAGATGCACTATTTGGATACAAGGTAATGTTTATGTATGGCATATGCCTCTTTTCTTCTACTTTAATGACCTCAGATGTAGGATTGAATTAAGTTCATACGTGAACTTTGCTATGTTGCACAACATATGTGATAATTTTCATCTTCAAGTGCTTCCAGTTTAGAATACTTATGATTTATTTATCGGACATATCACCACTTGGACAAGTTTTCTAAGTCCAAATGACAAATCTTTAGGATTTGCTATAATAAATAGCAAATGAAGTGGCAGAGCTAGAAATTATTCTCAATGAGGTCATTAATTCAAAAAATCATTTACAATTTAATTGAATTCATGAAAAAATAATTAATGAAATTCGAATAAGAGAAATTAAATTCATAGGGTATTTTGAACAATTAGGAATTGACTAAAATATAGAATTTAAAATGCTTATAAATAAATTTTTTGAAGTGATTTTAGTTACTGTATAAGGCTGCAAAATATCCAAATTAAACAGTTTTACCTATTTTAAGTCGATAGATAAATTGATCCTAATTTATTTATTTTGAAAACAATTTTATTGGGTCTACTGAATGAAAATCCTAAAATTTTCCATATCATACGCCTACTTTAATCTTTCTCCCTCAAGTTGCCCCTGATTGAATGCGAGATATATTGCTATGTGGAACGTCAAGAATGAGGAATAACTACTGTTAATGAAGTAGTAAGCTCAATATCTCAAAGTCTAATAGTTCTATTTGTGCAAAAGAAAAGAAACTTTTAGACTGATAAAATGTGTTCCTTTCTTAACTATGGGATGGTAACGAGAAAAAGGAGACACCTGCAACCTTTAAATTTCATTTTATTGACTACAAATTAATATTTGCTTACACACTTCATGAACTATCTGCACTTGTTTATGAAGTTTGTCCTACTTAAGCGATATTCCATGACTTATGCTTTGGACTGCTGTCCCTCATAGTCCATGGAACTGAATTGTTTGCCTATTCTTAAATTTCTATCTTGCACTTGCCTTTACATCTTAACTAATTTCCTCTTAGTTTTTTAGCATTATCTTCATAGTTTTTCACTTTTAAATTTACAAATCTTTATCACCCTCGCAAACCATGTGAAGCATCAATAGTGTTTGCAAAAGATTCATTAGAACATAAAATTTCGTTGGCCATAAGTTTTACAAAAAGCTTAGGGAATTAGATACAAGACTTTAACATTTTATGTTTATTTTCTTCATCTTTTTCTTACGGAAACATGGAAATTTTTTCCTTTGCTGTTTGGTTTTAGGCCAACTTGTTATTTTTAATTACCAGGTCTTAAATTTTGTGTTCAGACATAATTTCATGAAATTTAAAATTTCCATTGTAAAATTTTGTAACTGTGTATTCCTGTTACTGTTATTAATCTTCCTTAGTTGTCACACATTGTTCATGAGTTCCATTATCTTTATTGTAGGCTACATTTGAAGCATTCATTGGACTCCGAGATAACCAGGCAACAGCTCAACTTAAACTCTTTGGAGATAATTTGCAGGTACTTAGTGGTCTGCAGCCCAATTTGTAGCATCTCTCCTGCTATTTTCCTTCATTTTTCCCCCCTTTCAGTCGGAACCTTTCATCGTAACTGACATGTCACTTTCTGATTGAATATGTTTTTAAGGTTTTGGAAGCAAATCTTCCAATGGACGGTGCTTACAAATCAAAAGATATCATTGCAGCTCCAATTCGTGTAATCCAACTTATCTATAATGCAGGGGTGAGCTGAAAGGAATTATATTTTGGAAGTACAAGTTCCATATTATTTCACAAAGTGATTGTTGGGTGGAGGGAGGTGGTGTTAGTGGGCTGTGCCCATATGCTGGAATCATATAATTTTGAATCTCCTCTATAAAAGCCATCAAAATCTTGTTCTCATGTATTTCCACTTATGTGCTAATGAAGTGCATGTAGTTGATAGCTATAATTCCACAGTAATTCAATCCTTCATCGGGGGAAGAAACTAAGGCTAGTGGGTTTATGTTTAAGCAGGATGTGAAGGGCCCTCAGACTGTTGCTTTTAGTTTACCCAATGATGAGCGAATGGTAAAAGAACGAGGAACTTCAATGGTCATGCTTAAGAATGTTTCAGAGGCCAAGTACTATTTCATTAATTGTATTTTATGATATTATCTTTACGCCTTATTTTTCTTAATGCTTTTTCATAATTTTTATCATTGGTATATGAAGTTTTCTAAATGTTGGACATGACCTTCCTACCAGGTTTGAGCATATTCTTCGGCCTATAGCTGACGCGTGTGTTGGGAAGGAACAAAAGCAACTTGTAGATTTTGAATCTTTCTTTACACACGCTATCTGCCATGAATGCTGCCATGGTATTGGCCCTCATACGATAACACTTCCCAATGGTCAAAAGTCTACAGTGAGAAAGGTTAGTTGCGCGACTTTATGCTACCTCTCAATCAATTGTGGTTTTAATAGGTTTTAGATTATTTACACTTCATTTCGCAACCTTCAATCATAAAACTAAATTCCATATCACCACATTTCTGCTGAGTTGCAGAGAGAAATCACATGAAAATTTTCATCATTTTCTAGCTAGTGTATTAGTTGAACTTTGTCCACTTAGTTACCTGTTTGACATTTCAAGATGAGAAGGCAATGTAACTGTACTTCCAACTTGAAATAGCAGGGAAATTTTTGTCAATTATTGCATTAGGAAATTGACATCACCTGTATTTTTCATGTTTTCCTTTCTATCCTTCGATACAGGAGCTGCAAGAACTCCACTCTGCTTTGGAGGAAGCAAAAGCTGATATAGTTGGCCTTTGGGCACTCAAGTTTTTAATCAACAAGGTCAGTGACTATTTATGAGCTCTCTCTCTCTCTGTATGTCAATCTGTCTATCTTTATGTCTGTCTTTCTATCTATTCGTATCTTTGTGTTTACTGAGTCCAGGATTTGCTTCCAAAGAGCTTGGTAAAGTCTATGTATGTTTCTTTTCTTGCGGAATGCTTTCGCTCAGTTCGGTTTGGTTTAGAGGAAGCTCATGGGTAAGCAATCGTTCATCCTTCCTTAATCAATGATGTCAATTTCATTGATCATTCTATACTGAATATTGTCAGAAAAGGAAAAGCAATGCAATTCAACTGGTTATTTGAGAAAGAAGCCTTGATTTTGCACCCAGATGAAACATTCTCTGTTAATTTTTCTAAGGTTTAGTTTTTCCAACTTGTCTTATTAATGGTTTTCTCTCTCTAAAATACCAAATACCATAAGTTCTGTTTTCATTTGAAAGATTGAAGAGGCAGTTGAAAGCCTTTGTAGGGAGATACTAACCATACAAGCAAAAGCCGACAAAGAAGCTGCAAGCTTGCTGCTTCAGAAATACTGTAAAATGACAGATCCATTAAAATTTGCCTTGCACAAATTAGAGAGCATTCAGGTACGAGCAGTAAAATTCTGTTGCTTGCCAGTGCATGCATATCTGTGCATCTGATGAGAACTAGATTGCCAATAATTAAGGCAATTTATCAGCATGTTTATATTATTTCAAGTAGTCTATATGAATCATTGCTACTTCATACTTTATATGATTGTCTTGTGCCTGATAAAAACTGCACATCTAAGGGGATGGAAATTTACTTTCGAAATGCATACAGATTTTTGGCGCTTGACATTTTTTTAAAATGTTAATTCAATGTTTTAAAATATTAATTCAATAATTAGTCCTTTGACAAAGGCCATGCCACCAAATGGATGAGATTTTGCTTGTAGGGTCGAAGAAAAGAGTTTCGACAAGTACTGTGGTTGAACTCTTACTAATAAATATCTATTTTTATTGCATTAGTTGCAAAGTGAATACAATTTTTGTATAGACTCAGAAGAAGAAGACGACGACGTTGCTGCAAACTACAAAGAAAAAAAATTATAATTTCATGTTTCCACATTTCAATACAGCAGTTTGCAAAAGCTTAATTATGTATGCTTAGGGTTTCCTCATTGTTGTCCTTTCCTTTGTTTTTCAGGTGCCTGTGGATATAGTTCCCACATTTCCCATAGCCAATGAAATACTTGGGTAGAGGCAGCATGTTGTTATCAGGTTCACACCCCACGTTTGTCCTGCTAAGATGCAGATTACTTGAGCTTGTTAAATTCCTCAGATCAAGTAACCAAGTAACACATGAATCCTATGTTTTCTTCTTTTTTTTTTTTAATTTTTTAAAAAAATTTTTGAATGTGTGATTTTACTTGCTTAATATTTTTTGATATCTTGCTTAATTTATTGATGTTTGTAATGGTAATTGTTGAATTTTATATTATATATAATAAAGGAATTACTGATGATATCCGAAAATCATTATTTATTTCAATTCATAATCCAAAAATAAAAAACAAAAATTACTAACTTAGATAACTTTTAACTCCTTAAGCCAAGCTGTATGTAGAGGACAAGGATCAGGTTTCCCTTGAGCAAGTGCTTTCTGAGATAGAGAATAGAACCAGCCGTTCCTCCACTTGAACTACAAGCCATTAAACAGGATAGCTATTTAACAGGCACCATAGCAATCCATATATGACAAAGGACCTAAGCTATAAAAGATGTTTACCTCTTTAACAGCTGTTGGGAAATGAGCAACAGCTCTCGAATAAGCACATAATCTTTCCTCAATGGATTCTTCAAACTCTAAACCTTTTTCTGCGGCTGCTGCTGATGCAAGCTCCGCAATAAGACTAGACGCCTGAAACCAGAAATCTCAATCTCAGTCAGTTTTGTTAGTTGGTGTTGCCTAAACATATTTGACATTCAAAAAAAAATGATAGGAAAAAGTACATGAGATTGAGCAAGGAAAAACTCAAATAAAAGGAGCACTCAATTGCCACATGGAGTTCACAAACATGAGGTGGTCATTAGATACGTATGTAGAACCTGAAAGAGGAAGTTTGAAACATAGAATACCAATTCTACTTGAATGCAGAGCATTATGCAAAAGACAAGCAGTAATGAAATCTGATGCTTCCAAATACATCACTGTGAACAACAATATTTACCTCAGAGCGATATTCCTTCTCCACAGTACCAACAGTTGCCCCTTGATGACGAGCACCAACAAGCATGAATGCTGAAATCCAAATGAGCTTTTCTAACATTTGCTTCTGAAAAGCAAGCTTGTCAAGGACCTGATTTACATTTAAAAAGAAATAAAGTTGACTGAATATCATGGTATAAAGATTTGAGAGACAATGCAACAATGGATCACGCATTTAATTCAAAGCTAAACTTTCTAAATGCCTCAAAAGATCCAAAACCACAACAACTAAAATTCAGCCCAAGCTCTAAGTTCATCATATATAACAAGCTGCGATTGCAGGCCAACTCCCTTCCCCCCAAATACAAAATAGAACGTGTTAAGCAAAAGAATGCCCTCCAAATAGTTTCAACTTTCAACACAATAAATGTAATAGAATTAAAGAATTATCTTCTCTTACCTTGCAAGAGAGTCCTCCAGCATGTAACCTTGCAGCCACAGCAGATGCCCATTTTCCATATGCTGCAGTTAATCCTTCAGGATTGGTATCAGTTTTTCCATCAATTGGAGGCTCTCCAAGCTTCGACACAGCAAAATAAGCAAGCACTTGGTCTGCATCTCCTAGACCTTTACTTTCAAGCCACGGCTCCAGCATCCCGTTCTGGAAAAACACCAAATCTGCTAGATTGTCAATATCCACTTAAGCAAAGGAACCAAATACAGAAACTTCAACTCAAATAATTTCAAATGACAAGCAAAATTTCAATAAAATAAGTAGTGGTGAAAATAATCTGAAAATTTGTACCGTTCCATCTGGGCTTTGGAGTAGCTTCAAGAACTGCCTCAAGATCATCATTTCTTGTACAGACAAGAATAGGACCCTCAAAATCAAGAGGCACGGGCTCTCCTCTCTTCACCAGTAAATCTTGACCATTACCCATTCCTTGCAGAGCACTGCCTACCCGTCCACCGCCAACGATCACGGCTGGGGCGACCTTGGCAGTCGTGGCTGTAGAACCAGTAGCTGCAGCCATAGAGAAAGTTGATGGCTTTTGAGCTCCACTAATAATTTCGGTGCTAAAGAAAGTGAATTTTGAAGTGGGTTTGATGAGAGACGAGCTAGAGAGAGTAAGCGCGACACTGGCCATTGATTGTGCTAATAACAGGGAGGAAAATTGATGGTATTAGGGACATTGCGTTCCTGTGTTTTGGTAAAATAATTGGAGATCTTCGAGAGGCAGCGTATGAACGGCAAAGGGACAGCCACTCAATTTTTAGCCATTTATCCAAAGAGCTTGCCCAAAAAAAAAAAACTCTCTATGTCTTTCATTCTTGCTAAACTAATACACACACAGGTTCCTTTGTAATACAAATCTGGGTTCAAATAAAGGGGTTGTTTAAAGTTATTAATAAATGAGAAGAATAATATTAACAGACTTCTGATTAATAAAATCATCTACATTGAAATGCTTGGTAAGGCCATATTGAAATTTGAAAGCTGAAGTTATATTTTTGGTGCTTGATCAGGTGATATCTCCTTTTCTCCTTAATGTTTTAGTTACACTAATTGATTCTAGGACGTGTAAATTGCTTGATGATTCTTATTGATTTCATTTACCAACTGCCGAAGGCTCATCATTTTCCTAATATCACTATTTGCAGGTGTGGTTCATCCGTATGGATGGAGCTCGGGGACACCCGCAAATTTTGAGTCCATTTGTATTTTTATTATGCGTATTCATTATAAAATTTATTTAAATAATTATTAAAATATCTTTATCCAAATTCGTTTAAAATTTTACTGTTTATATCCGCTTTAAATTTATTTAAAGTGCTCTTCAAACAGGTAGGATATTTATAAATTTTAAACAATTTAAATCTGAATTTATTTAAATCACATCTTTTAATAATAACGAGTAGGTACCCATGAATAGATAATTCACTGTGCATACTCGTTTCAAATCTGTTTATAACTACTCTATATCCCCATATAACGATCAGATATCATGAAAACCTTGTTTCACTCTCATCGGTCTAATTTTGGTGCTAACCATTCTCGAAACAAATACCTTGAAATACTCGTCCAGCTTTCATATGTCTAATTTAGATGCTAGCCATTTCTTTCAGTTGGTTAACTCTAACTATAGGTGTGAAGCTTACGGATATTATTTTTTTATTGTCTAATTTTTACCGTATTGAAATTAGAATGCAATTCTAACAGAAAGGTCCATGTGAATGGTTGAGGATTAAAATTATTTTAGAGTACAGTTAATTCAATTCTGAAAGTTCAAGTAAATAAAAAAATGGCAATTAAAAAGTTTCAAATAAAATTGAAGAACCATAACCAAGTAGTATACATTATACTACTATGTACTACTTAGATTCCTTTTTTTTTTTTTTCTGAAAATATCTTCTTGAAAAAATATTTTTTAAATTTTATACAACGGGAGCTCTTAGAAAAACTAGTTAATAGAAACTACTTTTTATGATTTAGAAGAAAAATTAAGTCCGTCGAAAAAACAATTAACCATGTGGATCTTGCACGTGCACAGTGTGGTCCTTGTAAACCTTCTGATTGTGGGTGCACGGAGACTCTCCTTACTACCAAATTGTGATATTCGCTACCATCTCCGTTGCACGCCCAAAGCTGAATGCAAGTGTTGTCTAAATGATATTACTTCAGCAGTTGTTAAAAATTAAATTACTATGAATAAAGCAGTGTCTCGACATAGAAAAAAAAAATTTTAAAAGAGTGTCTTTCTTTGTATATATATCCATAATTTGTACGAGCTATTTAAATATGTTAATAGAAGAGTGTTTTTCTTAATATATTTTTATTTGAAAATAAAGTAAATTTCATATTATGGAAAATTGATATCAAATCATATAATATCAATAAATTTTATAACCAATCACAAATGAGAAAATTTGTGACAAACACTAAAATTGTTTATCTTTTTTAGCATTCGCTGAGTACTAGGATTTGATAGAACCCTAAAAGGGATTTATATAAGAGCAGGGCATGCAATTACTCTTGGTGAAATTAATTGCGGATATTTGATTCTGAGGTTTTAGGGAGTGATTGTTTCAAACGAGATTGACTTAAGCACTAGATCTTTTTTCTTGGGTATTTTACTCCTAAATTCTAGAGGGCGATTGCTCAATGAAATTGGTCTAAGCCTAAAATCCTTCTACATTTTTTTTTTTTATATATAATCTATTTGATAAAACTGAGGCATCTGATAAATGTTTCAGAAGCTGACACGACAGAAAAATAAAACTAGTATTGTCATATGTGATATCGCTAAAAAAAGAGTAATCTATATGATATAGAAAAGAAGATCAGTAGTTAATCTTATATGGAAACCAAGTGTAAATAGCACAATTTGCTACTTAACAATATACTGGAATATAGAATGACAAATGTTAAAAGTATAAATGAAAAATTAAAAAAAAAATTCATGCAAGTAATTTATTAGCTGTGTATATCAATACGTCTTTTCATTCCTTAATATAGATATTAAAAATATATATGTATATATATAAATATATATATTTATATATACATATACACACACAAATGTTAGAAGCATAAATGAGATGAAATTTTGATGTTTGGAGGTGTAAGGTTGCTTTTGTGGTACATGTTTTCTCGGGTAATCTAGGGTTTACACATCAAAATAAGATGAAATTTTGAATTTAGAGTTTAATTAATTTATGGTAGTATATTTGCCATAATTTGTTTTATTTCGAATTCATCTCTTATTGATTACTTCTTTTCTAGTAATTTAGGGTTTATTCTATTAAAATAACATAAAATTTGAATCTAAGGTGAAATTGTAATTGAATGCAACCCTTAGTTGAATTTATGAAGTAATTATATATATTTGCTATAATTTAAATTCGAGATAAAGCCGTGATAAAAAGTTAAAATTGAAGTATCTCAGTGATTAAATTCATTTTGGAGAGCAATTATTACAATCGCCAAGTTTGAGGCAGTTTATATAATTTAGCCAACCCATTTTTTATATAATTTACCCAACTCATTTTTTGAGTTAAGTTACTCAAGTATAAGTTGTAGATATTTAATATATTTTGTTCACTAATTTTGCCGGGTATAATTCACAAAAAATTTCAATTGAGGTACATGAGAGATTAAGTTGGATTTATGGTGAAATTATTACAAGATGTAAAGTTTGAGATATATTTAATGGTTTACCGATAAAGACTCTAATTAGTTGTGATATATTGCCGTATAAAAAAAAAAAAAAAATCCTCTCTCATTAGGTTTTCTAGTAAATCACTTACTATTTATATTACACTCCATAATATAATTAATACTCAAATCTGGTTTAAATGGATTAGGGTGAGTACTTACAAAAATTTACCCCCTTTCTTGCCTAATAATATATGATCCATAAATACACATCCCATAAAATCATCCTTTAGGTTAAAATTAAGCATGACAACTAATTCTATTAAAACCATTTTGACGAGTCTCTTGATATGTGCTCTTGTATTGTCTCCAATTGTGCCCATCGAAGCAGCTCGTCTTAATCATCGAGGTACATAATTACTTATTGCATGTTACCATTGATTATGTATTTTAAATATGTTATCATTGTTTTAATATGAATACTAATGTTGCAGAGCTTCGTACTATACCAAATTGTGATATTCAACATTATATCTATTTGCCTGCCGAAAGAAGGTGTATGCAAGTGTTGTCCAGAAGATATTTCCCCTAACTGACTGTTGAAAATTAAATTACTCTTAATAAATGGGTGTCTCGATATGAATATAAATTAAAAAAGTGACTCCTCTTTATATATATTATCCATGATTTGTATGAGTTATTTAAATATGTTGTAGCTAAATGTGAATGTAAGTCTTTTTTTAAAAGATACTTCCTCTAGTAGTAGCTTAAAATAAAATTTTACTATGCACAAAGGAATGTCTCAATATGAATATAAATTAAAAGAATATCTTTTTTTTTTATATATTTATTCATAATTTTCATGAGTTATTAAAATATGTTAATAAAAGAGTGTCTTTCTTAATATATTTATGTTTAAGAATAAAGTAAATTTCATAGTGCGGTAAATTGATAGCAAATCATATAACATCAACAAATTTTATAACCAATCACAAATAAGAAAATTATGACAAAGAAATAACTAAAAATTTATTAAAAGAAAACAAAATCTCTCGCTATAGCCAATGAAAAAAAATAAAAAAACAATGAAATATAAAAAAAAAAAAAAAATTAACCAAATCCATGCGACAGGTCGCTTTATTAAATCAAGGAAAAAAAAAGGTTTATAACTGCTAGAAAAATATCTGAACTATATCTCCAACGAAAAAATATGTTGTTGTTTCCAGAGCGAATTAATATTATATCTTTTAAAAAAAATGATGTTATTTTTATAGCGAATTTCGTTAATGGTAGAGCCAAATTTACCCTTTTCATTCATTATATTTGTCTCATCTCTCATTTGTTTCTTCACTCAAAATCAGATACATAATTACTTACTGTAGAATGTAGTAGCTCATTCAAGTGCAAGAGCTGAATGTAGAGTTATGGCAGGGGTGAGCAAAATGACGGATCGAACCAAAAATCAAATCGACTCATTTCGGTTCGATTCGGTTTGATGTCAAAGAGAGATTTGGTTGGTCAGTTCGTTCAGTTTGAATCAAATTTACTGATTGTTCAATTCGGTTACACAAATATGCGGCGGTTGGGCTTAGAACCGACCCCAAATGATAAAAACCGATAAAAATATACTGATCCGTTGTTTGATTCATTTAATATAAAAAAACTTAATTTATATTTTGTGACTTCAGTTCAGTTCATTTGAATTGAACAGACCATTTGCTCAGCCTTAAGTTATGGCCCTAGGAGCTTATGAATTGTTATGGCTTAAGAAGTTAATGGAAAAATTGAAGCTTTTAGAGTCTGAAGCCTCAATCTTATCTTATGATAACAAGACTACTATTAGCATTACTCAGAATTTAATTCAACATGATATAACAAAGTACATAGAGATCGATAGACACTTCATAAAAAAGAAAATCATTCAAGGTGTTTTGAAGTTTATTCATGCAACTTCTAATAATCAACCGACGGATATCTTTACTAAAAAACTATAAGTAGTAAAATATTTCACAACTTAATAGGTAAGTTGGGCACATATAATATCTTTCATACGAACTTGAGGAGGAGTATAAATAGTTCTAAGTATAAATAGGCTTGTAACAATTTATTTCACAAGATGAAATGAAAATTCTCTTCACACAATGGAAATTCATGATTAACATGTATAATTAATTAAGAAAAAAAGTGAATGTCAATCATTGGCTATGACAAAATGCATTAATGAACATAATTTCATTCAAAAATTAAATCTTTTTCCTACCATTATATCCCTCCAAATTTATTAAGGGTTAGATTAGTCTATTTGATATCAATGAGCCACGCTCATCG